ACAACGAAAACAAATTTATCCAAAAATGCAGAAAATGTGTGCTTCCTATTGTAAATTCATCAAATTTAACGGGTAGTCTTAACTCAATGTTTTAAGTCAAAATCTGATATTCATTTTGTCAGGAAATTTACCGATAATTTTATAGAATTATTAATTTATAATATTAAAAGAATCATAAATTTATGTAAAAGTTTTTAAAAATTTATTATCTTATTAATTTATCAAAATTATTAATTTAGACATTGGGCTCAAATCGGAATCTAGAAAAAATATTATTTTAGATAGATTATTAATTTATCAGTATTAATTTATAGAAGTACTACTGTAAATCTAAATAAATAAAGAAATAAACAAAATCTCAATCCAAAGGGGTTGTTTTTATTAAAAGCTATATTTATGTGTTTTTCATCGATTCCAAAAGAAGTTTGGGGACCTCTTAAGATGGGTAAGAAAAGAAAATCAAGGGTCCCAAAAACCTAGTCTATATAGGTTGCCCCAACCTACAATTCTAAACTCATTGAAAATGCCCTAACAAGACAACCCATTCACTCCATTGGCTCAACTCAATTCTTAACCATTCAACTATCTGGACTTACTTTTCCTACATCCATTTCTGCATGCTCAATTGACTATTCAAAGCATTGTACCCTTTTAGGGATATGCATGAGACTCGAATTCGAGGATTTTAATTGACTGATCTAATTGAGTTGGGTTTAAAAAAAATTAGGGTCGCTCACTCACTCCAAAATATTCATACAATTTGGTCCATATTGTCTGCCTAGTAATTACTCCCTCTAATTGCTTGACTAATATTAAGACGTTGATTTGATCGGCCACCATTGCACCACCACGTGTGTCCGATTTTACATCCTCTAATGTCGCTCTTATCGCAATTTTAATCCAGTAAAGGCATAAAATTTCTTTTAAGATAATATGAGATAATTACAATATGATATATGGTCAGAATTTTTTTAGTCTATTAACAAACATGCAGAATGTCTTGTAGTCGTGTCTGCTCAAACTGAATCTTCTAAAAAGAACAACATTCCTTTTTAGTATTGAAATCACTTGACAGGTTCAAGAATTTCATATTAAGAGTCAAAGGCCAAAATCCGTTCATGATTTATCTTAATCTTGTCCATCCTAAAATTAGAATTGGTCGAAATATATTTTGAGTTTGAAGAGGGTAGTGTTGTCAAATTTCATTGTATTTGGATTAAAATATAAAAATCAATAAAAATGGTAGCTAATTGATGTTTGTGATTCAGCACCAAACATAACACAAACAAAGCACACATGGGAATATGTCTTTTGTTCCTAGCATGACAAAGACAAACCTATCTTCTAGGAGAAGACAATCTTGCTGGGATTACATCCTCCACAATTATTCTAAACATAAAATAAAGGTAAAAAATAAAAAAAAAACATTTATTTATTGTGGAACTATTATTTAGTGAGTTCTTGTATGTTCGTGCAGTGTAATTAATTATTAAAAAAACATGTACTTTGAAAATATATATACAATGAATATGGTAGGTAGTCTGCGTGTTGATTAATAAATGACATATAACATGTGGTCGTGCTAAACATTGTTATATTAGATAAGGTTAGAGTTTTGTGATTTATATTTTGATTTAATTTTTTTTAATATGATTCATTTGGTAGAAGAAATAAATTAGAAGAAAAAAAGATATATGTGGTAGATACGAAGACTCTCTAAGAGATAAAGATTTTATTGCACACCTCATTTGTACATAAATATATTTCTTATGTTAGTTTTTTGGTTGAAAAATAGAATTTCGCATAATATTAGATTTCTTTTTCATCAAGTAATTTACCTATAAATAGATAATAGATGTCAAAATTATCGTAAAAGACGAGCTCTTAGAATCTGTGTGAGGTTGTGTAGTCGTAAATCTTAGTAACATCGACATATAATAGGTTTTTCTCGCATGCACATGATTTTTTTTTAATTTTAAAATTTTTCATATAAAATATGTCTCTTTTATAGTGCAATCATTTATATTTATCGTTATTGTCCCATCTGATACAACATATGCCTAATTCAAAAATATTATATTTTATATCTATCAAAATATCAATTATGGATACATTTTATAAACTAATTGTCGTAACCGTCTTTCGGTTAGGCCCCGAATTGGGCTTCGACTTGAAATAATTTGATTGGGAGTCGTCACCGATCACTTTAAAACGAATTTAGATGGGTCGGACACCATCTTACCTGATCTGCGTTTTTACCAGAAATATGTCGGGTTCGGGAGTCGGTTACGGTCAATGAATGATTAGCACACTTGAACCGCCCTTTCGGTACCAATTAATTTGCCGGTTGTCTTAAATTAAGAAAATTGTAATTTAAAATTAAAAGGTAAAAATACGATCACAATTACTTACCTTAGATAGTTTTAAAGGTGTGGCCTTAAGAAAGTTAAAAAATCATGTTAGATAAAAAGGTAAGAAATAAATAAATTAATTAAATTAAAATGAAGAAAAAATAAATTAAATAAAAGATAAGATAAAGAAAGCAAAGATAAAATAGTAAGTAAAATAAATATAAAAAAATAAAAAATAAAGAAAAAAATATATAAATAAAACAAATAATAATAAATAATAATAATAAAGTAAAAATAATATATATATAAAATAAAAAAATAGTATATATATATATATATATAAATTAATAAAACTGATAATAAAAAAATAATATATATATATATATAATCTAAAAAAATAAAAATATATACTAAACTAAAAAAGAAAACGCATAAAATGTAAAAAATATTACATGAAAAAAATAACAAAATAAATAAAATGGGTAACAAGGGAAATGTGCGTATAAATAAAGTTAAATAAATAAAATAATAATAATTAAAACGTAAATGTAAGAGGCCGAATCAAAAGTAAAAAAGATGATACCTTTTATTTCCTTTTCGAATCGTTTACAATAGCTTTGCTTTTGTATTTTCAGTGTTTTCCTCTGTATTTTGTATGTAAGTCGTGTGTTACAAATGGGGAGAATTACATGTATTTATAGTGAAAAAAACTAACTATTTTAGAATCCTATTAACAATAGAATCCTAATGAAACTAGACTCCTTGTTCGGTTGTTGCACGTTTGTTGGTGTGGTTATTGCTTTAAAAGATATGGTGGTGGAACAGTCCTTCTAGGAGAGAAACTCTTGCTAGTTCTATCTTTTAAAAAAATGGTTTGTCTACACTAATTAATCATAATAGAACCATCTTGTATCGATATAAGATAGATCAAGATCTTATTCGAGTCTAATGGTATTTTAGGTTCATATCAATTTAAAATTAAGAAAAATAAAATTTTTATTCTTCTAGTTTTTTAATTCAAAATTTATATTGTTGAATAACAAATGGAATCATGTGTGTTTAAATATTTTCTTTTAATAGTATGAGGCGATTACAAGGTAGTATTTGATCATAGTTTTACTTAACCATTGACAGCGTATATACATATGACAAGCGTAGATGTTTGAACCCCAGACCTCAAGTGAGAACAACACTTTGTTTAACCAATAAGACCACTAAATAGATTCCCAATGTGTTTAAACATAAAATGTTATACTTGAAATTCAATGCATCTTGAATTAAGATATGAGACAAACGGTCCAACCAATTTAAGACTACAAAAATCAAAAGGAAGTAATGCTTGAAATTTGAATGAATCGGGTTAAAAGATGAAGCGAGGAAGGAAGAAAGGGGTAGCGGATGGGGTAAGTGTTCCCATAAAAGGAAATGATGAACCCAAAGACGTGTTAATGCCAAGGGGGAAATGGAGAAGAAAATCAAAATATGAAAAGGTTACCCCCTCCCACGTAGGGTTGTTCTCTTCGAGCCTTTGCTTTTTCCATCTCAACAATACCCAATCTTTCTCACTCTCTCTATGAGAGTGTGTTCAAACATTCATTCAATTTTGATCGTGTTACTATTTGGATAATTTAACTTTAAAAACTTTAATTTTTTTATTAAATTTTTGAATTTTTCTTATTTTGAATTAAGTTTCACAAGTTTTAAAGTGAGTTTTAAAAAATTTTAAATTGATAGAGTAATAATCGACACTGAAATAAGTTTGTTAGTATCTAAATAGTCAAAGAAGACACCAAAGAATAACAATTTCAATTGCGGCAACATATGAGATGAAACTGTTAAATATTTTTGTTGTTGGATATATGATGAAATGAAAATAATAAAAAAATGAAAGAGAAAAAAAGTTATGTGGATGACAAATGACAATTATATAAGTAACAAAGCACTCCACGTCAGCATAAAACAATCCGTATCAACCTTGTATTTTTATTTAACGTGATCAAAATATAAATATTTAGAAATTTAATGATTAAATTAAAAAAAATAAATCGAGTGATATAAACTTAAAACATGATAAAATTGAGTGATAAAATATATATTTTAGTTATAATATATTTACTTAATCAACTGTTACTTATGAAAGTATATAACAATAAAAGTATTGTCCGAAACCGTTATTTCACAATCACTATATTTGTAATAATACATTCTATTATCACAATCACGATGAAGGCAATATAATTAAAAATGTTATTGTAATCGCAATTTGAATCATGTTACTTACTATACTAAAATGTAGCCTAAAGCTTGAGTGTTAGCGAATGAGTGAAGAAAAGTTGTAAATCTGGCGTTAAAAGAGCTGGAAGAGAGGAAGAAGAAGAAGTAAGTCCCAGCTTTGATGCGCGTGAAGTGTTGGTGCAGAAAACAATGGGGAAGAAGAAGAAGAAGAAGAAGAAGAAGAAGAAGAAGAAGAAGAAGAAGAAGAAGAAGAAGAGAAAGGGAACACATAGGTCAGCTAAAAGTGATACAAAACCCTGACCCACTTCACCAAATGTTACCCTCTGTCTGCTACATGTCCCCATCTCACCATCTATCTTAAAATCCCCCCTTCCCCTCCCAATAAACCCATATTTCTTCCCATTTCCTCCTCTTTTAACTATTTCAATTTTGGAGCAAATCCTTGTGTTTTTTTTTGTTGTTGTTTGTCGTGCATGGAGCTTCACCTTGGACTCGCTCTTCCAACCACTCCTTTTCTCCCCATCGGTTACGAGCTAAAACAGTGTCCATTCGACGCTGATGTTAAAGACGGTAATGGCAGTTGCAGCAGCGTCAACGGCGGAAAAAAACGAAGCTGCTTTGATGATGAGACTCGGGTTGTTCCCAAAACTCTGCCTCTTTTTCTTTGGAACAATGACCATCCCAATGAAGAAGATGACCCGAATGATCCCGATGACAACTCTTCTTCTTCTTACATTCTCAAGTACCCTTCACTTTCCCTTTCTTGGTAAATTATATATATTATTTATAGTAGTTTTTTTTTTTTTATAATTGATCTTTGGTTTTGGAAAGGAATGAAGGAGAGGGTTTAGTGGGGTGGCCACCGGTGAAAGCCTGGAGAAAGAAGCTCCGCCGCCACGTACACAGTGGCAGAGTAAATAACAATCGCATGGTGGCGGCGACGGCGGCGAAGATTAGCTCAACGTACGTGAAGGTGAAAATCGAATTGGATCGAAACTCATTCAATTCTAGTTTAAATTAAAATTTAATATTTGATAATTAAAATAATATCAAAACTAATTGCAAAATGTTTAAATTAATTGTAAATATTATGTAAGTATGAAATCGAATTGGATCGAAACTCATTCAATTCTAGTTTTATACCTATCTCTAATTTAATGTTCGCCATCACTACTAATGTAAAGGATTTGAGCTCATTCCTGGTTTGGTTTAATAAGTTTATCAAGGTAAAAGGTTCGAAATATATTATTATGAATGACATAAATTAAATAAAAATTATTGCTCTCGTATTAGAACACTACAACATTTAATTTAGATTAGTCGTTCAACAGAGAAAAACAAGTGGTTATAAAAAAAATTATTGTAGGTTTTACATTTTTCTGTTCATTAGAGGACATTGTGCATATTGATTCTTTAAAACCTGTAATTTCTAAAAGTTTGAAATCATATTACTTGATCAATAACTATTATCTAATCTCAAAGCTTTTCCTTGTTTTGGGTCTTAAAAATATTTGGTAAATATTATGAAAAATAAAAAATAGTAATTAATAGGAAGAAAACAAATTAATATTTTATTATGGTAGAGGAACATGTTATTCAAATTTGATAAAATAAACTTAAAATAAATAAATAAATTAGGGTAAAAAGAATTAGGATGTGTGCATTTGATCGAGTCAAATTAAAAATTTATGAGTTAATCGAATTAATGAGTTATATTTTATCTTTTAAAATTTATTTAAAAAATTTTATATGTTAAATCAAATTTATAAGATTGATTTTTTTTAAAATTTAGATTTGAATCAAGTTTTGTAAGAGATAAATTCTGTTTGGATTCAAGATAAAAAATATTTTATTTTATCTAATTTGAGAATAATAATATAATTGACTTTTATATATTTAGATACAAACGTTATAATACTCATTTTTATTATTTTTAATTTAAGTCATTATTTTATTAAATAAAATTGATATTTTTTTTATATTCAGATAGACTTTAAGATTAGATGAAGCTTTGTTAAACTTAAATTAGATAGAGTGTCTAATGATAAATAAAAATCTTTGGTCAACCGAAAATCTGATCCACTCTTCATTCCTATTTACGATTTGCATCAATCCAAAAGTATTAAACCCGTATAGACAATTGACATGTATTTCCTAATTATGTATGTATGTATGTATGTATGAGTTTAGGATATGATCCAATTCTACGGTGTAAAGATGTTTTAGCTTTACATAAATTTAGGATCGATGAATGAGTGAAAATAGATAAACAAATAATTAATCTCAACCATCTATTTTCACTTCTCTAACGATCTTAAATATGTGTAAAATTAAAAGATATTTACATTATATAAGTGTATCATAATTCTATTATTTTTTTAATAAAAAAATTGATTGAGTCATTGAGACTACCCCATGAAGAGTGGGCTACTTTGTTACTATATATGTTCAAAGATAGCCATTTAGGATTTGGGCTTGAGTTTGAATTACTTTTTAGGTTTATTTTAGGGTTTATGTTTTGAATTTAAAATTATTCTTTCTAATATTATCATTTTTAGAGTTTAAATATGGATCTCTTGTTAAGAGTGCAAATATGCATTATTATTATATTTAACACTTTTTTATTTAGAATAATTATTTTTAGTTACAATCAGATTACTCTATTTATTAATTGTAATAACCATGTCACTCTATTTATTGCTTATAAGAATCAAATCATTCAATTGTAACTAAAAAGTTAATATATGTTACACACTTAATGACATAATGACATATTTGTCACAATTAATAAATAGAATGACTCGATTGTAATTTTGTGAAATTTAGTGACATGTTAGTAATATTATTACTGATTGACTTGTCATTGAATTTACCCTAACTATATAATATAAATATTTAAGGGCTGTTTTTTACCATGTCAATCAACTATTAGTAATATTATAAATCGAATATCAATTTTCAAAAAGTTACAAATTAGACAATTGATCGTGCTTGGAAACATATCCTTATAGCGTTGAAAATTATGCAAAAACTTACAATTTAGATAATAATTTATTGTAAATGATAAACTTTTGTATAATCAAGACAAGTATGATAAGTTCGGTAATAACTTGCTGAAAGTCATTTTTGTTTCGCGCAATTATATATATATATATAATGATAAAATTACAAACTTTTTTCTAAATTATTGTAAATGCTTTTGATAACATTTTTCTGTTACAACCTATTTATGTTATTTTTTTAATTTTATATTAATAAATTGCATTTTAGACTCTTTAGATAAATTTGAATTCGATTGCACTAAAAAACCATAATTGTTCGTTAAAAACACAAATTTTCGCCTTTAAATTTGTTTTTTTTTCTTGGGATTTTGTAATTGTTTCATCAATCCCATCTTCCTCCTCGTAACTTGTCTTGAGCATTGTATGGCTGACACTGCAGGACAAAATTTGCCCTAGAGAATACCGATGCTTGTCTTTTAACTTTTATGATGACCGGTTGGGTAAAGTTCGTGCAGGTGATTGAGTTTATCAGTGCCATGATTCTTAGCCATATCGTGTAGTTTTATTGTATTACAGCCTTAATATATAGTTAAGAAAATATCTTATTAGAAATGTTAATTATTTTAATATTTTTGATAAAATACTATTTAAAATATTATTTTTTATATAAAAAATTAATTAGTGAAATTAACATTGTTGGTAAAAAAAATAATGTTTTAGGTAGCGCTTTATCGAAAATGTTAAAAAAATATTAACATTTCCGGTAACATCTTTTCTTAACCGTATATTAAGGTTATCGCACCTAAGACATCCCAGCCATCTCTCCTAAGCCAACACAAATCTAGAAGATCATCATCGAAGTCGTGAATGGATCGAAAAAGAGTTGTGGAAAATATTATTTTTTTAAAAAAATTATATAATTTAAATTTATATATATATTTTCTGTTAATAATATGTTTTTATCTTTAAAATTTTATAGTTTTGTATATTCTAAAATTATATATATTTATCTATTATAATATAAAACTCTTGAATCGATTTTTGTGGACGTAATATATAACTATGGCGGAAATATATTTTATTTTCTCCGACATCTTTAGATAAACTAATATAAATATTTTCTAAATCGGTGAAAAAAATAAAAAGCAAAAAGTTATACGAGAATAGAATAGACAAACTTAATCGTTCTATATAAAAAGTTGAAATTCTTGTTTGGCATAATGTTGAAATTAACCGTTTATTTTGAGGTAAAATTATTAAATTTCGTTATATGAACTTCATTTGAGATGACGAATTAAAGGCATTCTAGCTCTCTTCCTCTTACGTCGCCAATGCCAATAGATTGTTGAGATCACCCACAACTTATTTGCTTCGAAAACCAGATAAGGGGAAGAAGAAGATCATTTGGATGAAGGTCTCATGACATGTTAAATATTATTTCTAGCTCTCTTCCTCCTTCATTTAAGTATATATATATTTTTTAAAAATAACTATCCTAAGTCACAATAGAATATCTATATAACTTCAATTATTCTTTTTTTAATTTAATCTTTTAATTTTGTATGATTTTCTTGTTTCTTTAATTCATCCTTTGTTTGAAGTCTATTTTGATAAAAAAAAATTAAACAATGCGCTTCTATATTATTATAAAATACATTTGTAACTTCAATTATTCTTTTTGAAAACATTTTTTTTCCCATTTAGTCTATCAGCTCTATATGATTTTTATTTATTTATTCAATTTATCATTTATTTTAAATCTATTTTGGTAAAATTTGAACCCATGTTTCTATGGTAAAACTGCCCAAATAATGATTTAGTGATTGTTTAATTCCCAAAAAAATCCAGTTTATTTATTATTTCCCGAAATGGGGTGAAATGTACAGTGCTTCAAGTGGTTCTTTGGATATCTCGGCGTTTTTAGGGTTAATTTTTCCATGATTGCTTTCTCGGCGTCTTTGGGGTTATGACACTATGGGAATGCTCGGCGTCTTCAAGCAATTGGACTGTGGGATATCTCGGCGTCTTCTGCATGCTACAAGGAATGCCAAGGTGGATCTCTCGGCGTCTTCTGCATGCTACAAGGAATGCCAATGTGGATCTCTCGGCGTCTTCACCTGTCGTCTGATGGGAATGCTCGGCGTCTTCAAGCAATTGGACTGTGGGATCTCTCGGCGTCTTCTGCATGCTACAAGGAATGCCAAGGTGGATCTCTCGGCGTCTTCACCTGTCGTCTGGCGGGAATCTCTGCATTACTCTCTGAATCGTGCATGCATTCTGGGGGCCTGAACGTCTTCATCTCTGCATGACTCTCTGCATGCATGCAGAGTTGATTTAACAGTTGAATACAATAATAATAGGAGTGCTCGGCGTCTTTAGTTAATAGGGTTACAGGGGCGTTCGATTTCCCGGCGTCTTAAGCTATACATGGAGAATATTTGGTTGCAGGTGGTCGTGAAATCTCGGCGTCTTCTTCTTCCGAGATTCGTTCTGCATGCGTCTGCATTCTTTGTGGCCGAAGCGTGAGATTCGTCTGAAGCGTGAGATTCGTCTGAAGCGTGAGACTAATAATTTACTCGAAGTCTTCAATTACTTGTTATAAAATAGGGGTGGGTATTGTATTTCATTGCATGCAGTTGGTTTTAACTTACAGAAGCAAGTGAGGGAATTTTTTTTTGCATTAGATTCAATTGAAGCTGCTGCTTGAAGTGATATTGGAGATTTTTGTTGGTTCGGTAATTTTTCGAGCTTTGGTTTAACGTCGTTCAAAAACACGTAAGTTCTTTCTCGTTTCCCATGCGAACTCTGTTTTTTTCGTGTTGAAAGAATGCTCATATATGTTAGGAGAATGATACATTTAAATTTTGTTCATGAGACCATAGTAATGTAATTTAGAGTACTAATGATAATTTAAAATTAGAAAATGTAAGTTTGATGATTAGGTATACAGAAAATTTAAATTTGAGTATTATTGTTAATTTAAATTTTCGTGTAATTTTTAGTTGTATTTTTATAATAA